TTTTTAGAGAGTACATTTTATTATAATAAGACAAAGTTTGTATGAATTAACATATTACATATTTGCTTACTTTACATTTTTTATGCCACATAGGTATGTCCCAGAAGTCGCGCACCACCTTGAATGTAGATAATCCCAGAACATTTTAAAACAAATAACAATTTATTACCCAATTCATTGTTGTGATAATCATTTTTACACATCTTGTTGCCAAACGCATACGTATTGTTAAAGTAAAATGCATGATAAAACAATTCCTAATTAAACCATTTTTTGAACATTAGACCTAGACTTAATTTACTTAAAAAAGTATAATTAAGGTTTAAAAACTAAATGTTTACGATCTTATATTTTTTTAAATAATGAAGGTAAAATTTTTTTTGACAACTTTATGGGATTCCTATGGGTCTTTAGCAGTGGCGGCTTGTATAAATTTAAGAAGGTAGTGCCAGAATGTTAGCAGAGAAAGCAAAAGTTTGTTTGCAACCACATAACCAATTATTTTTATCAGCTTGATTAAATTTACGACAGCGCGATTTTGGTCCAATTCCACTTTGTTTTTCAGTTTTTGAATCGGATATAGGCTGACCTAATTCTTTTATCACCAAGAGTTTTTTAAGTTGCTAATTGTATTCAATGTCACACTAAAAACCACGTTGGTTGGCTGGTGGACAAAAAACGGGTGCAACAAAATGCAGATTCAGTATACACTTAATACACAGGACCAAATTTTGTCTTCTGGCTTTCTTTGCTGCAAGTATTTTAATAACCTGAAATAGGATTAAACCCCCTCATCAACAATTTTGCACTACAACTTTTTTATACACTAATGCATAAAAAAGTTTTACTTAAAAAATATTTCTGAATACGAACTTTATCCTCATGCATGTGTAACATATTATGAGCCCAATACCATTGGCCAATTTATTTTTATATTTCTGTTATTGTAACTTTTTTGTTGCAATAATTTTTAAATATTTAAATTTAAATTGGATTTATATCACTATCATTATTTTTGTTTTATCTTGCACCTTAATGTAAATATCAGTGCATCATCGCTCCTACACGTGCGTTTCTCCGTTCTGAACTATAAACAAGTATACAGTGCATAAGCAGTCCATTTATCTATATATATATATATCTAAAAGTTAAAAGTGTGAAGTGAATTGCCACCTACCTGTCGGAGTCACGGATCCACCCACCTGAACAGGTGCTTCACCGCGGAATGAACCTGAAAGAGAACCTGGAAGAGACATAGCTTCATCTATTTGTGTATTAAGTTTGTAAATTAATTTAAATTAAATTGATAATAAAGTAAGAATGGAAAGAACTAAATTTAAATGGTAAACGGTTGATACACTAAAAACAAAATAAACAAAGAAGATACATAGTCGGTAGTTGGTGCTCGGCAGGAGGGGTTGAATAACCACGATGGCAGAGGGCACTTACAGCGGGTCGCGGCCGTCAAAACTTCGGTACTGAAGACAGAATTTAGTATCTCACGCCGGGCAAGCAATTCTAAAGCGGTTACCAGGGACCGGAAACCGACTCGGACAGAGACGTTCAGAAGTACACCAACAAGGACAGGTTCTACTTCTTACATCTTACTAAAACTTCTACCCCCATTCATGAATCGCAATTGAATGGGGTTATTACTAAAGCCCCGGTTGAGGAGGATTCCAGATTGTACTTAGTTTTGGGTCAGTTCAATGTCCTCCAAAAACCAACATTTACCCTCCTTGTCCCGCTCTCCCCTAGCCTAAACTGGGCGTATGGCCCGACCCGGCGACAAAAATCCGGGAGTGGCCTTAACCATCGAAATTGTCATCCACGATCTCCTAAGGTAGTAAAACTGCCGGCGTAAAAATGCGGATCCAATACAGGTAATGCTGTGCAGTGTGGGATACGTAGGAGAACGGGAAGGTGGTAAAATAACCCTGGGAGATTAGTGTAAGGTGATATCGATGGGGCCTGCCATACGCCCCCATACTCATACTCATCTTGCACCTTAATGTAAGTTTACTTATTTTAAAATATTAAAAATTATTTTTATTGGATCAAGATTGTCTCCAAAGGAAAATTTATCTTGTATAAACTGCGCACCACTCAATGTGTTGCGACCAAAAATTTCGTCCTTTTTTAAAACGACATAACTTTTATCTTCTCTGACAATTCATGCTATAGATATGAAGCTCACTGTTCTTCAAGTAAATTTACTACAGGGTGATATGTAAAACAGTGAAATATTTCAATAACTTCATCCAAGCCCCGTTTGTAAAATAAATATTTTTTTCTCGTTTTTACTTTGAAATAATGAAGTATTATGTCTTACCTTGAAACTTTTTTCAAATTTTTCGAATTGGAATCTTAGCAACAAAAATATGATTTTTTTTTCAATGGAGTACATTAAATTTTTATGCTTTTTTGTAGGCAATACACTTAGCCTTTTTAAGAACAAAAAGATAAGATTGTAAAAGATTGTTCCTTGAATAATTCTGAAGAAGCGACAAGCAAAAAACTTCCATTATTTTCAGAGGAACCTAATAATAATAATAATAATAATAATAATGGATGTTAAATGTCTCAATAAAATCGGATTGCTGGATTTTACTGTGTTTTGCATTTTTAGTACATTATTATCATGTTACTAAATGATCAAATCAAGAATCAAGTGATGAAAATTAATTGCCAATAATTTGGTGTTGGTGGACGACAATGCCCGTCCGCATCGCGCTTATATCGTAAATGAGTATTTAAAAGACCATGAAATTGAGAGAATGAATTGGCCACCTTTGTCTCCGGATATGAATCTTATTGAGCATGTATGGAGCAGGATGAAACTGAAAATGAAAGAAGATAAGGACGCATGGAAAATTTGGATGAATTGGTACATTCGATTCAGAAAGAATGGGAAGCCATACCCCAGGAACTTCTAAGGAACTTGATCTAGGGAATGCTCAGGACGGTTAACGAATTATTACGGGTTAGGGGAGGGCAAACGAAATATTGAAAGTTATTATTGTTATTGTTTGTTACATTTTTCTGTTGAATTTTGTAGTTTTTATTATGATATCTTCGCATAAAATTTTCAAAAATAAACAAATAAATTTGCTAGTGCGCAATATAAATAAACAATATCCTAACCACACAAATAAAAATGAATCCCCAAATGGCATTGGCAAAGGCATGTTATTGAGAAATTTAACAGCCAGGAATTGTGTTCGAATTTTGATTCTTGGTGATTTTGGTTTCATCTAAAACTTAAATTTGACAACTGAATCACATAAGGAGGTCAAAATTAAAAAGCAAACATATCAAGAACGTAAATATCGGTTCAGGTTTAGTTTTCGCAAAATTTCTCCAAAATGTCATTTTGAAAAAGTGGTCTTTGCTTAGGTCCCTCTGAAAATAATGAAAGTTTGTTGCTTGTCGCTTGTTCAGAATTATTCAAGGAACAATCTTTCACCATCTTATCTTTTTTATCTTAAAAAGGCTCAGTGTATTGCCTAGAAAAAAGCATCAAATGTACTCTTTTGAAAAAAAAATCATATTTTTGTTGCTAATATTCCAATTCGAAAAATTTGAAAAACGTTTTAAGGTAAGACATAAAACTTTATTATTTCAAAGTAAAAACGAGAAAAAAATATTTTTTTTTGCAAACGGGGCTTGGATGAAGTTATTGAAATTTTTCACCGTTTTACATATCACCCTGTAGGAAATTTACCTGAAGAACCATGAGCTTCATATCTATAGCATGAATTTCCAGAGAATGGGGCTAGCAGACATCACAAACCAAAATAAAATCGTTTAAGAAACAAAAAAGTTATGTCGTTTTGAAAAAGGAGGGAATTTTTGGTCGCGACACATTGACTGGTCACGGTGCTGTTCTGAGAGGTGATTTTTTGACTTTCTGTGAAACCTAATTTTTTTTTATATTCTTGTTAATTAGGTCATAACTAAAATTTTAAGAGCAAAATAAAAAAAATTTGACGGTTTGAATTGTTTTAATTGGCTGTTTATTAAAAATATTATGCACTCTTTCAATTATCCAATTAAAACTAGCGATTTAATTTAAATATTTAATATTTGCATAACTAAAAAAAAGGTTTTTAAATTTTTTTTTATATATTTTACTGTTTTGTTGCAATAAACGTTCAAACTTTTAATCTAACCTTTGACGTATACATTTATGTTCCCTTAATTAATATATCCTTAAAGGTTGCCATGAAACTTAGATCTATTAAAAATTTATTTGACTTCATTTTCAGTATACGTATTCTATAATTTTTGTTTAGTTTTTTTATAAACAAAAATGAAAAATTGTAGTAAAAGTTACGAAGAAATTTATGAAATTTAACTAAGGACCGGTTTATTCATCTTTAGTAAAGTTTATCGGGCCGATAACTTTTATGTCTTGGCAATATCTAGTATCCAAAGAAATTATTCGTTAAATAAATCAAAAATTAATAAATCGGCCCTAAATAAAATGTGGCACCCTTAGAATTATTGTTTAATAAATGTATACTATACATTTAACCTTAAATTAAAACTTTAAACGTGTATTACAACAAAACAGTAAAAGATATAAAAAATGTATAGACGTTTTTTTAGGAAATTAACTAATCTTTAATCTGATTTAAAAAGTTAGGATAATATTTAAATAAAATCGCAAGTTTTAATTGGAGAATTGAAAGTGTGCATACATATTTTTTTAATAAACATCCAATTAAAACAAAATTAACCGTCAATTTTTTTTTATTTTGCTCTTAAAATTTTAGTTATGACCTAATTAACAAGAATATAAAAAAAAATTAGGTTTCACAGAAAGTCCAAAAATCACCTCTCAGAACAGCACCGTGTGGTGCGTAGTTTATATAATATGTAATATTATTAATAAATTAATATTATAATATTATTGTCTTTCAATACGAAAATGTCAGGGACTGGAATTCAAACCTCCTTTAATATAAGAACTCAATAAGTAAATGTATAAACTTATTTATTTATTAAATATTATTTTCATCGTTAATTTTACACACGCATATCTGGCTTCCTAAAGAGTAATTAAAGTCACCTTCAGAGTTCCGGGAAAGGTGCGATTCGTATCCCTCGCGAAAATAATCAGCCATCTTCTTTGTCAAGTAAATAAATCCGGCAGCAATTAACAAAATAACGACACCCACTGTTATGGCATAGTAAGAACATTGCTTCACCACAATGCTCTGCTGAGGTATTACCTCGTATCCCAACCAAACCCAAATGGTCTCTATAAATGTTAGTGGGGCCATTTCGATTTCGGTTTGTTTGATGAAAAGCCTCCTCAAAAAGCAATCGTAGAGTTCTTGAGAGGCCAGGAACATGGGACAAAATATACAATTCAGTGGAAAGAAAATGGAACTCAGCAGTGCTTCGCTCATCGTCGGTTCAGGATCTTCAATTTTGTAATTTTCACCAACGCATACTCCTCCCTCGCGATCACATAAAGGATATATGTAGCCATTGATTTTATAAACAAATTGAAGTATAATGTATAAATAAATAATAATTTTTGGTAAATAGAACATGTTTAAATAAAATGACAACTGTCACGTGTAAACCGAAATTTTGATATATTCATAGCAACAATTAATATCAATATACATCTTTTGGTATTCATTGTTGCCTGTAGGTAGGATTTGTTACGGATAAAGTAAAAGTTACGAGTAAACCAAGTAAACTTAGTTTAACCTGTTAACGTGTGAATTACCTGGGTTAAACCTGAGTTTACCTGAAAATATTACATTATTTTAACATATACGATGAACTACAGTAATATGTAGCTTTAGAAATCAGGCAATATTATTTTCATTGCCCCACTTTTAACTTATGATTGTGCTTTTAAATTTAGATATAACATTAATATTTGTCAAAATTTGTTTACCATATTTAAATTATGATTAATGTTTTTCTTTATTTTCAGATATAATGAGTACTGATATCCAATACGGTGTTCCGGAAGGTTATAATCCTTCCAATTCAAGTGTACCTTTAAGAAATACGTAAGTTTATGACTATTAACCATGTGCAAAAACGATTGTAAAGGAAGTTTACATAAAGAGACCGCTATCCAGAAGATTTTTGTCCAAACACTATTTTAGGGCCTAGGCCAAACCGGTAGCCAGAAAAACTGATTTGTACTATTGTCCTAGTCTAAACTAGTTGACACTTGGATAAACTAGTTTAAACTTTTTCAAAGCACACTGAAAAAAATAAGCTGTTGAAACAACAAAAAAAATATTAATTCAACTCTTTATGCACTTTAAATATAAGCAATGGTTCGCTGACACATTTTACAATATTTTAACACCCTGTAGTGTATGGGTTGCTGTTAAACTTAAAAATTAAAAATGTTAATTTTAATTATTAAAACAAATAATAAAAAAAAATATTAGTACATAATTTATATTGGTTTTTTAATTTAATTTTAGAGGAAATTCGACCAATTACAAATATGGTATTCCAGAAGGGTACAATCATGCAGACACGTCAGAAGTTAAACTAAGACATCAGAATAATAAGTAAGTATATAAAACATTTTTTTTATTTGGACTTTGATCCGTATTTTATTCTGTTAATCTAAGCTAATATTTTTCATTATTTTTAAAACCACTTGATGATATTACTTAAATAAATATTTTGATAATGTATTATCAAATATTAGACATACACAGTATCCCGAAAAGGCCATAGCTATTTTATGTAAAAAATATATAAAAATTTTTTTGAATAAATAATGTTTAATTTATAAGGTTTTTAAAATTAAATTATGTTTCTATTATTTTAATCTTTTATTTAGGAAATAAAAATGTTTTTATGAAATACGCCAAATAAGCATCGCTTTTTAATAAAGAGCTGTATAACCCTTAGGTTACAAACGAGTGTTTTAAAGGATGAGGCCGGAAAATGTTAAAAATATCGAAATAAAAAAACGTGAAACGATTTGTTGTTGTTGGGCGTTTTTCGAGAGAAAATCCGGAGTAGAGTTTTTACCGGTTTATTATATTATAATTATGTATGAGTTAGAGTATAAGAACGTATGGCAGGCCCCATCGGCAACGTCTTACACTGTTCTTCCAGGGCTATTTTACCCCCTTTCGGTTCTCATACGTATTCCGCCACTGCACAGCGTTTCCTGTGTTTGACAGTGTCGATGGTTAAGGCCACTCCCGGAATTTTGTCGCCGGGTCGGACCATACGCCAGATTTAGGCTAGTGGAGTGTAGGACAATATGGTTTTTGTGGACCTTGAATTGACCCAAAACTATGTACAATCCGGATTCCCCCTCAACCAGGGTTTTAGTAATAACCCCATTCATTTGGAGTTAATGAATGGGGACTTGATTGGTTAATATGCTGCTAGGATATATTCTTACTGGTTTTGAAGTACTTCCTGTTTGTCTGTGTCCTCTCTGTCCGGGTCATATTCCCAGCTTGTTGATTATCTATAACGTTGCACCCATATAAATAATACTATTCTTAGAACGTTTGAGGAGTAATCCAATTTATGGTCTCCTTAATGTCTTAGTAATCTACAGATGTTTATTTCTTTGCTTAGTATTTATCAGAACTTGCGTGATTAATGGTTTCTTATGTGTGCCCTTGTATTTATAGTTTTTGACTGGTATATGAACTGTATGCGACTAATTATTTTATCTGGTGGATTCTTTGTCAGTTAAAGATTAAAATTAGTATTATTATTTGGGAATTATATGGTCAGGCAATTTTGGTAATTTTTACTTATCTTATTTATGTAGACTTGTACTTTGGGTAGATGTGATGTAATTGTTCCTTAACCCCGACCGCCCACTTTAGCACGTGTGGTAGTCCAGGAGATTATTCTGATCGTCTTATTCCACCTTTTATCCAGGTAAAACACTTGAGGACTTAATCCAGGAGGAGGTACATTAAGCAATTTGCATTAATTTTGCACTTGGATCTGGTATATCACGTGTAGAATCGTTAATTTTTGTTTTTTGTTTTTTTGAACTAATCTAGCGGTGATGGCACTATGGATTCCATAGTATGGAAGTACGAGCGCGTTAGGGGAGCCCTTAACCAAGCGACCGCTCGCCTCAAGGTGCCGTGCGTCACTGCCGGAATATTATATTATAATTATATATAATTAATATTTAGGTACAAATTGAAAACATTTGAGTTCAGTTAAAGTCATAAAACGTCTAAATGCAAATAGCGATAACTTATAGCATTATGAATTAGAAAAAGTGTTCATTGAAAAAATCTTCACTCAAAGGTAAAAGACAAAAAAGGGTGTTATATGTATATAATAAATGTTGCCATGTAGATATATTTTATTTAGAGGGCTAAAATATAAAAATGTTTGATTTTAAGGTTATGTTTCCAAAACTATTATTTTGTGTTAGATTTCTTAAAAATGTGCAAACTTGAATATAAATTATATTAGGTATAGTTATCATTAGATATTTCTGCACCAACCGAATTGGATCCTTTGACAAAAAATGAAAATGCACATTCGGATTAGTTCTTGAATTACATTTACAATCGAAATATTTTCAGTTTTTACTTGCAACGCGTAACACAAATAACGTGCGAGGTTAAGCTGTGTCCAGTAATGTTATCGAGCGCCACTAGATGGCCTGCGCGTAGTCAAACCCGATGCTGTTTTACCGTATAACAAATTAATAATTTAAAATTATTATTTTTTTTTAAACTCTTTTAAAATTTGTTATATGGTGAAATATTTATTTTAGATCTACCTAAAAATATATTAAACACATCTAACAAACATGTCTTATAGCAATAATTGTTCTGGGGACATTGTCTATTATAAAATTTTCCCAGAACAAAAAATATTTTGTTTACAAAAAATATATCTTATCTTATGTATTTTTTTAGTTCAGATAGAAGTGAAACTCAAAGAAAAAGGAGATCCAGAAACAGATTGTCAAACAGAAGAAGTACAGGGTTCGTTTCTCAAGTGGACATCGAAGCAGCTTTGCATATGGGTTCAGAGGAAAATTCTTCAAAAGAAAGCAGATGAAAAGTTGGACAATAAATAAAACAACAATAATATAAATAAACATCTAGTCATCGGAACATATAGAGATGAATAATTGTATTTAAATAGTTAAATTTCAAAATTTAAGGCAGATGAGATGTAATTTTACTCACAGTGATTTACAAATTTAGCTGGACAAATCTTTTTTTTGTAATTATTTTGATATAATCACCTACTTGTTGGTTAAACCTCTAAAAACAATGGTTAAACTATTGTGATATAGAAACTATTAAAGATATTTTTAGATAAAAAATATATTGTTAAAAGTAAAAAAATCATATAAATAATTTATTGTTTTATCTATACAATATTAATTTTGTATACAAAGTTACTATAGTTAAATTCATTAACTTCATATAAAAATGGAAATGAGTATTTTGTTATATTTATTGTTAATTATGACTTAATTGTTAATTAATTATTTTATTACTAATTTCATTAATAAAAATAAAATGCAACATAAAACTTTTTTTAAAACATGTCGTCCCAAAGACAGTTCTAATAAAAACTAAAACAAAGGTAAAGAAAATAATAGGGATCCTAATTTTGTATTCAAATGCAAAGACACATTCCAATTTAGTGTAGTCGACCAAAAACAACTGTAGTATTTTCAGCATTTTATGACACTGGGGGAAAGTGCAGTAAATACTAAAACACACAGAGCTTTAAATATTTCATTTTTATTCCATATTTTGGTTGATTTATTTTTTCGTTCTTGCGCACTTTTTACCCGTAAAACAGAATAAAATGTACCTTTTTCTTTTGGTGACATATTTTATTACTGCTGTAAATTTGAACTAAAATAACATTTTTATGCGATTAAGAATATTACTATGGCTACCTAATTTTATTATAAAACATTATTAAAATGTACATATTCACATATTTTTTACATATAAAATATTAATTAGTAGGTAAATATTACAATATTGTATTTAGTAAATAAAAAATTATTAATAATTATTTTAATTATATATACTTAGTATGCTTTATAAACATTAAAATAAGAAAGTCCATTATAAAAAAATTTAATAACAAGTCATGATAATTTTACCAACTGAAATATTTCATAATAACTGTAATATTTTGGCATACAGCGTTCAATTTTAATAATATTAAAATTTCTTACATTATGCCGAAATAAAAATTTAGTTAAAATCCCAGATCATGTTAATTTTACTGATAATTCCTTAAAAGCATTCAATAATCAAATGTATTTACTTATATCGCTAATATACGAGGTGTGTTCAGAAAATAACGGGAATTTTCAAATTTCGCGGGTTTGGAGAGTCCGGTTGTCATAAAATTGTCTTTATTATGTTGGTATACATACCCCTAAAAAATGATAAAATGTTTAAATGTTTTTATTGTTTACTTTGTCTGTGGCAGCCGCTAAGGTTAGACGTGTTTTTATGAGCTCGGCGATTTTCGTTCGTTAAAAGAAATGGATCAAAGAGTTTGTATCAAATTTTGGGTAAAAAATGAAATAAAGTGTGTGAAATATTAAGAAAGGC